CTGGAATCAACAGGGGCATGGGAATAAAGGAAGGGAAAACGCACACACACACACACACACACACACACATGGAGAAAGGAGCTGGAGAATGAAGTTAGACAGATGGGGAGGACGTGGGAAGAGCTGCGTGCGATAACAAAAGATAGAACGACTTGACATGAGTTGGTTGAGGGTCTATGCTCTATTGGGGGCTAAAAGAAGTGCACACTTTGCTTAACACCGGTGTCTAAATACCAGAACCATACATGCCTTGAGTATTATACCTGTAGGCTAATGAGTAAATACAGGACACATGTGCGAACTGAGGCTAGCAGAATATTCTATAGATTAACTTAGATTCAATGGATTATCTGCAGACCGGCCCACTCTACCTACAACTTCGAAAAGACACCTGGCCTCAAGAGCGAAGCGTAAAGAGCAAGCTATTGGGAACCATGAAGGGCCTGCTATTGAAATGCGAGTTGATAGAGGCAACCCACCTGATGGTCTGTTCTGAGCATACGAAACCGAACGCAAAGAAGAAGAAAGAAGAAAAATGGATGATGCGCCAAACATCAAGTCGGACTCTTTTCCCTGGTAGAAAATATGTTGATATATTAGCTGCACTCGGCCTCTCGAACTCATGTGAATAAACAACTAGCATTTCTCAGGACCGATGACACAAAAAAATATGGGAAGAGAGAGAGAGATAGAGAGAGAGAGAGAGAGAGAGAGAGGTGGGAGAGGGAGCCACTTCACCATGTTGGGGGGGGGGGTATATTTCTAGTTTAAGTGTATAATATTAATAACAAATATAATAATATAACTGATATAGTGTGAAATATGTAAACAAATACTTGACAAGAAAATACACATACTTGATTAGACCTGTCGCTTAACGTACTTGCAATTTTCGAGATGCAAGATGGGGAGGGGGAGCATGGAGTCTAAGCTCCCATGTTTGCCCCCCCCCCCCCCCACTCCCTCCAGGTTCCTCTCCCCCCTCCCGGGACTAGACCGGGTATGTTTTCTCCACCAATGTTCAGTGACAACAGACTTCAACACAACCATACAGAGAGAAACCAGAGTAAACTGATCTTATAATTAAGCGTAACCGAACGCGTTATCCTGAGATGTTATCATTCATTCATTCATTCAGTAGCATGTCCCTCGCGGAACCTCGCTGCCATAACAACCCTCCGGAAAACCTTCCTATCATGAGCAAGATGTCCTGCGTCTGATACACCCATCTGGAGATCATCTGCCACATCCTGCACCCATCTTCTCCTTGGCCTTCCTCTTCCTCTCTTCCCAGGCATATACCCCTCCATTATTGTTCTCTCTAGACCTCCATGACGTTTCAAGTGACCAAAATATTTCAATTTTCTTTGTTTTATTGTCTTTACTAGCCAACCCTCTTCAATATTCAGCTCTTGAAGTATGGATGCATTTGTTCTTTTCTTTACCCAAGATATTCTTAGAACCTGTCGGTAACATTTATATTCAAATGCATTTATGCGCTGTTCCGCTTGTTTAGTAAGTGTCCAGGTCTCACAGGCGTATGTTGCAATGGGAAAGATGCATGCTCTTAAAAATCTGACCTTTGTAATTCTATCTGTACAATTCCATAATTTATTCAGTTGTTTTAGTCTTTGAAGAGCAATTGATAGTCGCCGTTTGATTTCTTTCATTGTGTCACCATTGTTGGTAACCAGTGACCCAAGATATTCGAAATTGTCCACCACTTCCAATCTTTCCTCATTAACATATATTTCCTTCTCCATGGCAGTTTTGTTTGTATGCATTATCTTTGTTTTTGCTGTGTTAAGAAATAAGTTATGATTTTCACTATTTCTTTGGAGTGAGGTTAATAAGTTTTCTAAACCATTTTCTGATGTTGATAGTAATACTGTATCATCAGCATAACGAATTTCTGGTATTTCATGACCACCGATGTTTAGGGCATCATATTGTTCCTTGTTTATATCATCTCTTACATTTCTCATTATATTTTCGGCGTACAGGTTGAACAAATACGGTGACAGCACACATCCCTGACGGACTCCTTGCTTGATGCCAAACCAGTCTGATGTCTCTCCATCTATTCTGACTGCTGCTTGTTGGTCTTGATAGAGCATTTTAATGAGCTGCACTATATGTGATGGAAAGCCCATATTCCTCATGATTTCCCAAAGCTTCTGATGTTGTACACAGTCAAATGCTTTTGAATAATCCACAAAACATAAGAACAGATTTACATTAAATTCTCTACACTTCTCTATTATTAAACGCATGTTGAATATATGATCTCTTGTTCCTCTTCCCTGTCTAAATCCAGCCTGAGCTACATTAATCTCTTCTTCCATTTTCTTTTGCAGTCTTCTCATTATAATTTTTAGTAGAATTTTACTTGCATGACTGATCAGGGCAATAGTTCGATAGTTTGTACATAATTGCAGGTCACCCTTTTTTGGTATTGGAATGAAGATAGTTCTCTTCCAGTCGTTTTAGATGTTATCACTGTTCATAAATAAATAAATACAAAGTCAGAGGTAATCAATCACAGGACAGTAAATGATTAAACTTTAAAATGAGACGGTCACGATAACCAAATCCGATAATGTTTCTCTTCTTCGATCTATTTAGACTCATTTTCGAGTAAATAAAAAACTGACGAGCTTTTGAGGATATTGCAGTAGTATGATAACTAAATTATAATGCACTTATTAGCACAGACGAAGGTAGAAGGAAAAAACAAAGACAGCATGACAAATTACCCAACATAGACATGGAACTGTGTCAAGACTTCCACCAGACAGTGCACCACAGAGAGCCCTGATAGAAACAATGGAAGCAGATCTAGGGGTCAACCACGCGCAGCGATGGATAGATGAAATATCTAAAGCTGTTAACACCAGCATCTTCGTAGGGCATACCAAGGCTTGTGCCCAATGCCTCTACAAAAGCTGATGCTGAAGTGCAGAACGGGGCTAGAGGAGGAAGAGGAGAAGGAGTAAGAGGAGAAGAAGAAGAAGATGATGACGAAAAAAGGAAAAAGAAGGCTCTAGTTAACATACCTGGAGTAAAATATGTCGCCTCCCGCTGTAGACCTATCAGATCTCTCTTTTATAATGTTTGTATACTTAACAAAAACAATAGGGCCTGATGTGTTTACATGCTTGTTATTCGACCTATGCTTGGTTAATATGAATTTATATAGACAATGGTGCTGTTTCAATGTTTGGATACGTCTTTTGTCCTCAGTCCGTAATTATTCGTTCATCAGTATGACATACTTTTCTAAAGATTTCACGTTATGTCCGAGTATATTTCTGACTCCATTAGGCCAGTTTGTCTTTCGATCCGTAGTGTGGTAATTAGAAACGTTAGTTAACGTATCTTTCACAAGACATTACAGAACCAATCCCCGCATTTGGAGAAGACGAAAGGTTGGGACTGTTTGTTTAGATTACGCAAAGGTTACCTTCCCTAGCATGCCACTGAAATCTGACTGGTCAGCGCTCCATACCACTGTCGAAATCAACGAAAAGCAGTTTGCTGCCAAATCGGCTACAGCTAGAAATGAACCAATTACTTCGTCGAACAAAGCGCCTAAACCAATAATGCAAGTATGATAACTACAGCTTTCGATGATTACGTTGTCTATTGTGTCTTCCACTCTCCTTTTCTTTCTTCTGCAACTATGGGTGTCAATCAGTATACTATACTTGTTAATCATTTTAAAGTAATACTGCAATTGAATGTAGCAATATGAAGTAGTGTAAAACTCAATATTGTTAACACGAGTAAAATTGTAAGCATAACCACGAGAATTTTTTTGGATATTAACATTTACATCTCGAGGTAGGTCGCGGAGCCCGTTGTGGAAAAAAAACAAGAATAGACCCACTGCCTCCCCAAAGAGCATGTCGTAGGAGTCGACTAATTGGGGGCTTCCTTCGAAGACGCAGTGCATCCGCCGGTTAGGCAAGGAACAACCAACTGCACACAAATAAGCAAGTATGACAGATGTACACGCAAAACTCAGACCCTGGCATAAAGCCAAAGTCTAAATGGACGAACAGCCAGGACTCCGCCTAAGCGCACAACCGGTGAACGAAGAAGAAGAAAACAATATAATGGTAGTGGAAAGATGATTGCTGAAAAAAAAAATCAAAGAAACACCTAGACCTAGACAAAGACAAAGGCAAAGTGAAAAAAAAAAAGTGAAACCTAAATAGATCAAAAAAATTTAGATGTTTGTAGATAGTCAAGATAACTGGGGACATGTTAGGAGGACTGGTAAACTTTAAAACTGACAAAATTGATGCCGAAAAAAGCACAGGGAAAGCAAGGAGACAAATACCTGGCTGAGTAGGGTTATGTATTAAACGGATTTGGATCAATGAATTATGAAATGTTGAACATGTGAGTGGATACCAACAAACGCAACTCCAATTCTTGGTATATAAAAAAAAAGTTAACAAAATAGCAAAGAAATTAATGGAGATCATATCAGAATATTGGATTCTTTCGTAATAAGTGACCCAAGTTGACGTCACGGGGACACATCATTATTTTATAGGGTGGTAAGACCGGGTTTCCTGGCCTTGTGGTGCTTTTAGAACCACAGAACATCTAGAAATGGACCTAACCCCGACCCACCTACGTCCCACGAGAGAGTACAACCTAGGTCCCATTACTGCATGCAGCCATCGTCCCACGACTGCATGCAACCTATCTACAACCCCCTGATATATTGGACTGTCAGTTTTGGGCGAATAAAAAATGAAAGCACCCAATATTATAATAATCTGAAATAGCAAATATATAGCTCTATAATTACAATGCATGAAATAGAGAGAGAGAGAGAGAGAGAGAGAGAGAGAGAGAGAGAGAGAGAGAGAGAGAGAGAGAGAGAGAGGGGGGGGGGGGGGAGATCAACAATTATAGGGGCATCATAGCAATTGATATTTCTGTATTTTATAATAAACTAAAGAAATGAATAGTGAAATATTTAC